AGAGGGCCCAATGTAAAGGGGTACGTATATACATTCAAAAACCCCTTGACATGGGCCATAATGCTCTCCTCGGGGGAAGGTACCTGCAATATCACCTTTCCTCCCCATCCGCAGTCTTTTCTGACTGCCTCGAGATGCTCCTCCCCTACTGAGGAGATAAACATCGACACATGCTCCCGATGGACTAGAACATTGAGAGGTTTCTCTAACGTAAAGTCCCTCTTCGAGACAAAGCACCTCGATGTTAGCTCACAGGACGTCGGTGGTGTACCACCGACTGAGTGCAAAACTATGGAAGAACCTTCCTCTTCTTGGCAAGCGGATGTAGGCACAGTAGCCATGGCTTTGGTAAAACAAAGAGAGGGGAAATAGAAGACTTAGGTGAAAGCTTTGAGGTAAAGGGAAATTGGCGCAAGAAAGGAGAACCCTGTAAAGAAGATAGTCGCTCAATACAGCAGTATCTTCAAACAAAGGGAAAACAAGTACATATATAGAGCAAGCGGCGACTATTAGCCTAACCTGGAGACCAACAGAATCTATCCATGTCAGTATCATTTTTGGGAACCGCACTGGTGGGGCCACCTCAGTCACTTTGCAACCATGCCACATAATTGACACTGTCATACAAGCGCTCGGAAGTCATCAGACCCCGAGAATTTTTACTATTGCAGGCATCGACCTTATAGAAACTATCGGTCCAATTTTGAGATGGTCCCGATCTCAAAGGCCTCGATTGCTCCAAGTATATGCCTTGAAGAGCCAATATCAGAATTTGAAGACAAAAGCATTAAAATATGGAACGCGAAATGCTTGAAGTGGAAAAATTGTTATATTTCCAAAAACTCATTTACAACAGGGGAGCATTTACAAAGCCTTTCCCCTAAGAAACTCTTGCACAAAAGAAAAAAAGACGACCTAAGTCTACTCTTCACCCCCACTGCCCTCTGAATTATCGTCGGAACACTCATCTGAAGTGGCTGAAAAAGTAGATTTCTCCTCCAAGGTTCGGGCTTCCTCGATCTTAGCTGAGAGATCGGCGCCCTTATCACTCACTTTCTCAAGAGCCTGCCTCCTCGCTTGCGCACGAGCATTAGGAACGGCCCAAGTAAGCTTCTGCTTGGCCTTCACTACAATCTCTCGAGCTTGTTCGTTCGCAGTGGTGGCATCTTTCTTATACGAGGATGCCTTTTCTTCTGCCGCAGACTTAGTCGATGATAGTGCGGAAACCTCCTCCTTGGCACTCTACAGAAGGTCCCGGGTCGACGACAGCTCCACCCGCAGAAGGTCCCTCTCTAAGTCCATGACCCTATTTTGCCCCTTAAATCAAAGACCTCCACATCCTTGGCAACTGCCTCCTCTCGAAGCTGCTCCAAGAGGGAATTCTTTTGCTTGACCTGCAAGGGAGAAGAAAGTTGGTAAAACACCAAGTTACAAGGACAAAGGGCAAGTTTGCAAATACAGTATTACCTGCTCGGCAAGGTTATCGTTTTCTCGGCACATTCCTTCCAACCTCGCTCGGAGCCCACTCAACTCATCCTCCTTCCGGGCAGAAGAGGTCTCCAACTCCTTTAACCCCAAGGTGATATTCTCAACCTCCTTCATACGGCATATAAGCTCATCTCGCAGCTGGGAGATAGCATGGTCATACATTTTCTTAGCCTACAACAAAACAGAAGAGTCAGAAAGACGAGGATAAATACTTGAAGCACGAAAACTATACATAAAAGGGGTATCACCTTGCTGCTGGAGCCTCTCCGCCTCCTCTATAGCGTTAGGAGCGTCGAGATCAATGTCCTCAACGACACCATCGAGGAAGTTTCCAAGCACATATCCCCCCTCGTGAGGCCCCCCCACATTAGTGACCCTTGGGTCCTGTACATCCCTGAATTCCCCGGGGGAGAATCAAGGACCCGAATTAAGGCCACCCAGAACATCGATATCTCTGATGGGCAAATCCTACCCCCGAAAAGCTTTGGGCCCAGGCCCTTTAGAGTCATCAGCAACGGATTCCCTGACAGGGACTGTACCACGTCTGGTTAGGAACTCAGGGACCAGATCCGTACCCTCCTCGAGGGTCTCTACAGAATGGGCTCGAGCTGAATCGACCGTTCCGATTTAGCGATCCTCGGCCCAGCCACCTGTATGGCATCCATGCCCGACCTCGTCCTTTGTACCAGAAGGTTCTCATCATCATCGTTGTCTTCATCCTTAGTACCGGGACTTTCCCCAGAAGCTGAAGTTGAGACCTTGGCATCAGCTTGAGGCCTGCGTGAGTTGGGCTTCTTTGGCATAGGAGATCCATCAGTCGCCTTTTTCTTCCTCTTATTGCCCTTATCAGGCTTCGAGGTCTCTTCCTCGCCGTCGGGAGGCGGTCTCATCAGCACTCCATCGCCAAGTCCTGTACAACATAATACTCAAAGCTTGTCAACACGAAAGAGATATTGAAACATGGTAGAGGTGAAAACAAAAAGGCTTACCGTGATTCTTGGTCGGCACCGCATTTTAGCTAAGTTGGGCCAAGAACGCTTGAGATAAGGAAACGAAGTATCCAATTGCCTAATCCACCCCGATAGGTCCTGGACCGCTTTGCGATATTAAACGTTAGCTGCATAAACAAAGGGGATATCATTTTTTAGAAGAAGGTAAGAAGAAAGTAAAGCATGTTCGAGGTAGAGGCACTTACGCTCCATATTCCACTTCTCCGGAATGGTATCCTTTCGGTCGGGATGATGTCCGAGGTCCTCACTCATACAAACCTGCTCATCCACCCTCGATCCTTGTTCTCATCAATGCGCGAGAAAAATGGCTTCGTGGATCGAGGGTGAAGCTTGATCAGACCTAGAAAGAGACGAGGGCTATATAGTCTAATCAAGTGGTCAAGGGTGAAAGTCATACCCGCAACCTTGTTGGAGAAATAACGGAGCATATAGACTATCCTCTAGAAAGATGGATAAATTTGACCTAGAGTCACTTGATACTTATGACAAAAGTCGAGAATAACCGGATCTATCGCCGGGGAAGAAGGATCTGAAGAATCGACGGGACCCCAAAGTGAATGGGTATGTATATAGATGAAGAAAGTCAGCCTTGTGGTCTGTTATGCTCTCATTAGAACTGGGAATCTCAACCAGCACTGTCCTCTCCTATCGACAGTCATCCCTAACTTTTTGTATATTAGTCACAATGCTAGTATACCGGTACACGTGCTCGCACCATCCCGGTGTAAATGAGGGTCTATCGACAGAAAGATCGTTCATGGTATCGAACTCGGTAGGGGTACACTGTTCAACGGTGGGTGCCACTTTGGATTTGCCTTTGGATGTTCGAGATGAAGAGGCATCATCCTCTTTTCGAGGCACTGTTTTGGAGGTTCTAGCCATGGTGGTGGAAAGGCCTTTCTGAGAAAGGAAGTGAGCAACCAAGAACGAAAGAAAGAAGAATGTGTAAGGGGATGACCTTGGCTCTGAAAGTTTGAAGATGTTGCAAAAGTGTGAATCATTAAACGATTAAGGTATTTATAGAAACCATATGTGCAGCAGAAAGGATGAACCAATAGCGGTTCATGGGCTTCTCGGTAGTCATGTTGGCAGCGACCCTTGCGCAGCTTTTTGATGTATGGCACTTAATGCTCTGATAGGCTGACATCATGATGGTAGAGCCTAAGAAGTAGGAGTTCAAAATTGTTTCCTATTATTTCATTCTAGGAAATGCGGGGACTATCTGTATACGGCAAAATCGGAGGGGCCGATTTTGTAGTCATCATGGTGCTTCGTAGGAACGCTTCCTAGGGCTCGAGGTAGAGCTCGAGGAACAACCTCGTAGAGTTTCTAAACGTCCGACTATGGGGAAATATGGATCGATAGCTACGATCGAGAGGCGGGAAGTTCCCAAGGCACGTGACTAGAGCTGACAAAGTCTATTAGGCTAGTTAAACCCCTTATCATGGCATTAAATGGTTGTACCGGCCCCATATTTTTGTAATAAATGTATTTGTACTATATTGGGATTCCCCCTCATATATAAAGGGGATCCTTGTTGTTCCATAAGACATACATCATCTGATACGCAATATTGAATATACAAGAACATTCTCTCTGCTCCCTAACTTAACATATTCTCTTGATCTCACTACTTACATTTATTGCTTATATTTATTGTGTTTTATTTATTGTTCTTCATTTATTTCTCATTATTGTTCATAAAGAGTCGACATCAAATTTATCACAACTGTTAATCCTCCATGGACTGCCCTTAGCCGGGCATCCGACTCGACCTCGAGGCCCCGTATACGCAAGCTCGAGGCCCTGATTTCCAGCCATTTGGTTTGATTATTACACTATCTACAAGCTATTATCTTATCATCTAATCTTTAACTTAGCATCTATTGCCTAACAACTAGCATAAAAATATATCACGTATTTTTAGAACCACAAAATCAACTCTAATTGTAATTACCGTTTTCAAGGTAAACAGTTATTCTTTTTCATCATGATCATGTTGGCGACCCATTGGGGGTATTTGATTTTTTGATGGAGCTGTTTTCCAACAGTTTTTCAACCTCCTCGTTGACCGCATTGTTTATTGCAGAATTGAACTTCTGCCTAACTTGCCTTACTAGGGGGTAAAATAGATCGATGTTCAACTTGTGTGTCGCTATCTCTTTCAGGATACCTGGCATGTCTACATGGGAACAAGTAAACAAGTCTATGTTATTAGTTAAGAAATGACAAAATTTACCTGGTTCCTGAAGCTTGTGGCCGATGTATGCTTTCTTGTTGTGGTCGTTATCATCAAGTTGGACGGGGTCGAGATCTTCTACGGTTTATTTCATGGCCTCTATGATTTTGGGGTCTTTGGTGGCGTCCTTCCTTTCATTACCACTCGACCTCAACCCTGTTAATTGCTATGCCTCTTTGGATTTGCCCTTCATTTGTTGGGTGTATGTATAATCCTGGGCAATGCGATATCATTCTTGGGAAGTGTGTTTTTCTCCTCAGATGCTAAATACTCCCCATGGGTGGGAAATTTGATAACTTGGTACAAGCTGGAGAGACGGCTTTCATGGCGTGTATCCAAGGCCAACCTATTATGGCATTGTACGTTGTGTCCTGATCCATGATGTGGAAAGTAGTTTCTAGAGTGATGCCACCAGCCAGAACAGGGAGTGTGATCTCTCCAGATATTCGTTCAACTGCATTACTAAAACCGGTTAGTGTGATGCAGAGTGGCACTATCTTATCCTCGAGTTTCATCTGTGCAAGTACTTGAGGGTGGATAATGCATGCACCGTTCCCATCGTCCACCATAATATGTCTCACATTCGTATCTAATATGCGTAAAGTGACAACAAGAGCGTCATAGTGAGGAAAAACCAAACCATGGGCATCTGACTTATCGAAGATGATACTTTCTTCGAGTTTGTCGTACCGTTCATGAGTGATCAATCGTTTGAGTTTGTGGGTGGTGGTGAATTTTACGTTGTTGATCGATGCATCATTGCCCCCTCCGATGATCATTTGAATGGTTTGAGTCAAAGAATGTGGTTTTGGTAGGCCCTGGTGCTGTTCTCATCCTCGAGCAAAGTTGGCCCTTCCTCGGTTGCTTAACAGCTCTTTCAAGTGCCCTTGGTGAAGCATGTTCACGACCTCTTGTCTTAGATAGATGCAGTCCTCAGTTTTATGACCTCATTTCTGGTGGAATTTGTAGAGGGCATTTGACTACCTGGTGTTCAGGGTCGGACCTCATCTTCTGTGGCCACTTCACTTTTGGGCTGAGCTTCTCCAATGCATAGACTATTTCTGAGAGTGAAACACAAAAATTATGAGTTGATAGTAAGGGAGGCATACCTCTCTCACTTCAGTGAGTCGCTATTCTCGGCCTAGATGGGCCTTCGTCATGGCAGGAAGGTGACATGATGGCGCCTCTAACATATGGTTGATGTCTTTCTCGGTTGGATTGTGGACCTGCTTGATCCCTTCTATTGTCATTTCTCCGGTCTTTTTTGGACTCGGCTTGTACTGAGGTTAATCGTTGGGTTGGTCCATTTAGTTCATCTTTGTCAGCTCGGACCTCGGCGCAATAGGCGTTGTGTATTTTGTCCCAAGTGGTCGGGGGATATTTCATGAGCCGACTCAGAAATTTTCTGATCGCCCTTGAACCGCTTCTGTTTAACCCATTCTGGAAAGCTGCCACAGCCATTCCTTCTAATACATTGAGGTATCCTTACACGGTTGAATCGAGCGAGGAAGTCCTTTAGTCCTTCTTCAGGTAATTGTTTGATGGCAAATATATCATTCACTCTTGCCTCTGCCTTCTTAGCTCCGGCATGGACGAACTTGTCAGACATTTCTTTGAGTGTTTCAATGGAGAGCGTAGGCAGTTGTGAATGCCAAGTTAATGCGCCCCCGGTGAGGGTTTCACCAAAGTTTTTCAATAAGAAAGAGGATACTTGCTCCTTGGCGAGGTTGTTTCCAATTACAGCGGTGACATAGTGAGTCACATGATCCTCAGAGTCTGTCGTACCATCGTATATTTTCAGGTACAATGGCATTTTAAAGGTTTTAGGTATGGCAAGTGGTGCGGCGGCGTCACTGTATGGCAGCTCAACAAACCAACCGGCATCTCTTTTTGGTAAGAGTTTTCGGGCATCTGGTATTTTTTCTACTCTTTCTTGATGCTCTTTCATTTGGTCTCGGAGTATTTTGTTTTCGTTTTCCATCTCTTCCATCTTCCTTAAAACGACTGTGAGGGTATCGTCGCCTGCATTATTAACATTGTGAATGATACCTGCTAGGGGAGGAGGAGGGTCGTGCTGCTCGACTATTATTGGTGCAATGCAAGCTCTTGCGCTCTCCCTAATCGATTCTTGGGCAGGTTTGTCGAGGATGCCGGTCAACATGTATTTCTGCCAAGCTTCGAGCAGCTTCTTTACCTCCAGTGGTGCCTCTTCTGTTGTGGACATGGAAGCTCATTTACTGTGGGACATTGTGATACTAACATGAAGAAAGGGTGAGCCACTTCGCCTGGGAGAGGCATTTGGCGTTATATCCTCGCCCTCTATTTCAGAGACCTTGTTGATGGTGTTTAAGAGGTTGGCGGTGAGATCGGCAACCACCTTCATCCTTTCTTCTCGGTTACATGTCATGTTAGATCTGTGTGCACAAGAAAGTATAGGGTTTTGCGTTCTTTGTTTTTTTGGTTATAGATCTAGAAGAAACTAATATTTTACCTAGATAATCCCCACAGACGGCGCCAAATTCATTGACCAAAAAATATGAACATTTGGTTAAACTAATTAATTAAATAGATAAGGGGTTAATCCTAGTTAAAGATAATAACTTCAGATCTAAAATCGGCTTACGTGGATGATGTAGAATAATGCCAGAACAAATTTAATGCAATATGTGTTAAATGTTCAAGGCCAATAATGGGATGAGAATAACAAGCATTAAATAACAATAAATGGCCACTAAATGTAAATACGGAGAATGATTCACCCAATATTGAATAAGGCGGATGATTCTTGTTTCTGACAATAATGTATGACAAATAACTATGAGAATATAGAGACTTTCTCGGATCTGATGTGAAAAGTATAGAATAATCAACAAAATGAATCTCTTTAGAAAGGTGGTGTTGTATTTATATAGAGAGTCCTTTTCATGAGTTCTTATCAGAATCAATAATACATGTCTTTCACCTTATCTCCGTTTCTACTTATATGGGACATACTCTTCATCAACCCTAAAAGTACAAGTACAGAGAGTATTCAATGGAATATTCTCCCAAATACCCTATTACAAAACTAGCCGTTACCGTTGCTCTCGACATTTGACCCCGTCCATGATCGACTGCTCGGCGGTGAGTTTCATTAATCATTAGTCGACCTCAGCCAAATTACTTCTAATAATACCTCTTCATGCCGAATTCCCTTAGTCAGATTTTGACCCATATAGTATTATCTTGGTTTGGTTCAGATCATGCATCTTGTGTGTATATTTTGCACGAATTAGCAAAAAGTGAACCTCGTTTAATTTTTTTAACAATAAACCTGAAACTTTCTCTCTCTTTCTCAAACTGTAACAAACGTTTTCTAAAATAAATCAACTAAGTTTCACGCGCCTCCTCGAGCTGCTGTCACCAGCGAGAATCGGTAATTGCAAACATTACAGAACACAATGGTATGTCGTTGATTATATTCAAAGTTGAAGATCACTGACAGCTTTTTCCTAGTGTAGGAAGCTATTCTTAAACTCATGTTTCAAAAAGACAGCCAAAAATCATTGAAGAAGAAATCTAAAAAGATATATTCACACTTTCTATATATATCTGGTCAAAAGCTATAATTTATATACTCCCTCCGTTTCAATTTATGTGAACTCATTTGATTGGGCACGGAGTTTAAGAAAAGATAGAAGACTTTTGATCTTGTAGTGTAAAATGAGGCACATATATTTTGTGTGGCTATAAATCATTGTGTAAAGGTAAATTATTTCCAAATAAGGAAAGTGGTCATTCTTTTTGGTACGGACTAAAAAGAAAATAGGTTCACATAAATTGAAACGGATGGAGTACAATTTACATACAACTTGTTATACAAAATCATGTCAAAATCTACAATTTACATACACCTTATATACAATTTTTTGTTGAACGGAATCCGACCAAAACACATACAATTTGCACGCAATTATATTAGGTGTATACATTTTGTACGTCGTTTGTACACCTGATATACAAAATATATATATATATATATATATATATATATTATTGTTCTTCTTTCTCTTCGAGTTTCAATTTAAAATTTCAATTAAAACACTCGAATCTTCACTAAATTCCCATTGAGATATAAACTCCGAAGAGTATTCTTAATCATTTGCAACAACATCCAATCCATTGTTTGAATAGACCTTTATCTCCAATTAAGTGAAATTACTTAGCACTTATTTAAGAATGATCTCCAATTTTAATCAATTAAACTTTAACCCTTAATATTTAGATAAACTTTCACAAACCACTATGTTTTAGTGGTTATTAGTTAGTTGTAGCTACCATTTACTATATTACTTCCTATAGCTAGGTTTCAGGTTTTTTAGAGTGTATTTGATGTATTTAAGCTACTGTATTCATGAATACAATAGCATTTCTAGGCGTGAAACGGGGGATTACAGCTAGACAGATTTTTATATTCAATTGTATTAACGGCGTGAAACAAGGGATTATAGCTAGACAGGTTATTGTTTTCGACTGTATTCATGATATGTATTTGTGAATACAATAACGTAAATAGCGGAATTCATGGTCCATTCAGCTGTTTTTAAACGGAAAATGAATCAATTAACATAATAGACTCTTAATATAACTCAAACTCAACTATAACACACAAAAATTGTATTTTCAGTTATAAAAAAGATTTTCAATCTAAAAACACCCCAAAAACATAGCAATCTTCAGAAAAATTATATAATTACATAATACAGTTAAATACATAAAAATACATTGAATACATGAAGTATAGCAGGTCATCTATAGTGCAAAAATATATGAATACATACTGCAGATACATTTGAATACATATATACATCTGAATACATAAATTATATTAATTAAAAAAAATATGAATACATTCATGGAATATAGCGAAACAGTGAATACAATGAAATACATGAAATTCAGCGGGATACATTGAAATACAATGAAAAAAAAGACAATGAATAAAATGAAATACATAGATATAGCGAGATACATTGAAATACAATAAAAAAAGTAACAGACTCTTCAAGTTGCTCAGCCCCAAACTTCGTCGTCTTTGTTCAAGAACAACCATAATGTCGTCTCGTCAAGAGAGCCGCGATTCTGACTCGAAACTCTCAAAATTTGGCGCAAAAATGAAAAAAATTCCTTATTTTCAATAGCAGATTATCTTCTTTTGTTAGTAATTGGGAATTTGGTAGATGAAGAAAAGCAGCAATGGAGGTGATGAGAGGCGAGATTTGTAGTGGCTGTAACTAGAAAAGATTACAACTACAAAAGAAAATGAAAGAGAAGGGGAATTACTAGAATGAGAGATGAAGAAGAGTTGCGTAGGCTAGAAAAAGATTTTGCTAACGGAGGACAAAATATGTACCTAAATCTACGCAGCTGAATAACTAGAATGAGAGAGAAAAATAATACAAAGAGTATTTTATGGTTAAGGGTAGGAGGTAACCATAAATAGATATTTGGCTATAAAAATCAAAAGGTAGTTATGGAATATAAATTTTTAAAAGGATATTTATTTAAAATAAATAAGGTATTAACCTTTGCTATAAGAAATAAAAATTCCTAATACTTATTAAATATTATAAAATAATAAAAGAAGAAGAAGAGTATTGCAGAGCAAAGTAGAGAGAAATGGAATTCTTATAGATATGGGATGATTTACAATGGAATAGAACCCTTTATTTATAGGGAGAGGGTGACTTAGCCACCAAATAATAAACTCTAGAATCTCTCTAAATATAGACATTCACCA